GCTACGATCGACCCTCTGGCTGCGAATCTATGAAGTCGTGAACAGCAGCATGATCATCTTAAAGATGCGTGTGCATCCGGGCCAATAAATGGTACTACATCGTCCTCCTCCTCCCTCCTCGTACTACATCGTCCTCCTCCCTCCTCGTACTACATCGTCCTCCTCCTCCTCCTCTCCTTCCGCGCCCCCTCCTCTTCCTTTCCTCCTCTCTTCTCTCCTCGTCCTCGTCTCGTTCTCCCGCATTTTTCTCCTCCTCTTTCTCTACCCCCGTCAAACTTTCGGTTTCACCTGTCATGCCCTTGGCCAAAAGAAACCTCGGAGATTCGCGCACGTCGAACAAGAGGATGGGGAGGATGGTGAGGGTGAGGAAGGTAGGGACCGCAACTTCTGCTGGGCATGTCAGGCGAAGGAGCATGAAGAAGCACAAGAGGGAAAGAGAAGAAGAGGAGGAGGATGATAGTACGAGGGGACGAGGAGGGGAGGGAGCCGAGGTAACAAACAGAGGAGCAAGTTCAGGAGCAGCGGCAGCGGCAGCGGGTAGAAGAGTCCAAGGAAGAGGAGGAGAAAGAGGGGGGAGGAGAGCAGGAGCGGCAAGTAAGACAAGGGAGGAGGGGGGACAGGAAGAGAGGCAGGAAGCAGCGGAGGAGGGAACCTGTCCTCCAGTCGTCGGTGAGGAGGTTGGTGGGGATGGCGCATATGACGCCAATGGAGAAGCCGATCTGAAGGTAAAAGCAGACGACCAGCGCTCGAGCATCGGCCGAGACGACCTGCGCAGTGAGGATGAGCAAGTGCAAAGAGGAAGAGGAAGAGGAAGAGGCGAGAACGAAGGATGACGAGAGGGACGACGGAGGAACGAAAACGGAAGAGGAGGGAGGGGAGGGGAGGGGAGGGGAGGGAGGGAGGAGGAGGAGGAGAGGGGAGGAGGAGGGGAGGAGGAGGAGGAGGAGAAGAGGGAAAACAAGTTAAGAATCGATCAACCTCAGAGATCAGCACGCTGGTCACAAGTGTTCCACCTGAGATCATTAAAATCACCCACGAGCACGTGCATGAAGGCAAGTTCGGTGTGCGTGTTCGAGGGGAGAAGTAGAGGTAGAGGAGGAAGCCAGGGAGAGACGCACAAAGCAAGAGGCAAGGAAGGAAACGTCAACAAGTCCTACCGGCTGCTCCTGCTCCTGTCATGACGCGTGAGAGAACATACACATTGAAGTGCCGCGAGAAGAAGCAGAGAAGGCCCCCAGCTGCGAGAAGAGAGACAGTAGCAAGAAGAGCCTTCAAGCCCAGTCAGCTCCTCCTCCTCCTCCTCCTTCTCCTCCTCCTTCTCCTCCTCCTCCTCCTCCTCCTCCTCCTCCTCCTCGTCATACTCCTCCTCCTCCTCCTCCCACACTCTGTCCGCATTCTCCGTCTTGTTGCTCGGTTGCTCCTCCGTTCTCCTCCCTCAATCATCGTCCTCACCTTTCTCCTCCCAAAGCTGTCCGAAAAGGGCCCGAAGACTATTAGCAAATCATTCAGCATACAATCAGCACGATAGCAGAGCATCTCACTTGCGTTGCCAAGTAGCTGTGACGCGTAGTACATGGTGTTTGCAAACTGTTCTTCTTCACAACCTTGCCGTTCAAATCAGAGTCAAAATCACTCCTGACCATCTCAAACCTCCCCAGTTCGTCGCTGCCATCATCTTTGAACCCCATTCAACTGGGCCGAAACTAAATAATCCTGACATCCTCAACTCTGTCATCGAACAAAGGGAGAGGGAGGCAAATACCTGAAACGAACCATACTAACCCCATCAACAATGTGTTCCAATGCTGGAAGAAGGATCAGAAACATGCTCTCATGCAATTATATCACGTCCAGGTTGGCTCCCATATTCTGAAATCCCTCTCGTCCTGTCCATTTCACAACTTCCTCCCTCCTCCCTCCTCTATTTTCTCCCACTCCTCCCTCCCTCCTCCGCTCTCCTCTCCCCTCCCCTCCTCGCCTCTCCTCTCCTCTCCTCTCCTCTCCTCTCCTCTCCTCCTCTCCTCTCCCCTCCTCTCCTCCCCTCCCCTCTCCTCCCCTCTCCCCTCCTTTCCCCCTCTTACTCTCCTCTCCTCTCCTCTCCTCTCTGAAGACAATCAAGGATGAAACTAATCGCATGTTCTTGTGCTCACCTGGAACCTCCCCCATCCGTTGATGCTCGACAACGCCTGGTCAATAGTAATCTCCTGGCCGTCATCATCATCTTCATAACCTCCCTGAGTAACAGCATGTCAAGGAGCAGCAGTGAACAGTGTGAGGTGACGACTGACCTTGTTCGGGTCCTCAATCGTTGCAAATGCAACTTTCGGCTCTCTTTCCATGTTCGCTCCTTCAGACCATCCTGCATCCACAACTTCAGAGACCCTAGATTGCGATGCAACGTCGCTGTGTGTGGATGAAAGGTTTCTGCATGCTCGATACTAACTAAAGCACATGAGCAGGGTCTGAAAACTTTCCAGGTGCGCATGATGATCAGATCGTGGGAACTTTTTCGACGCATCGAAATGGTCTCGGCGCAAGTTGCCACTGCGCTCTATCAAGCTTTCATCGCTGTCTCTTCATACCATGTTTCTTTTGCACGAGTCGAGCAGTGATGATATCGTTTTCTTGAGAGCTCATGTTTGCTTGAGCATGTCATGTACTCTCTCCCTTTCCTGAAGAAATAGATTGCCAAACCTCGTCTCTTCTTGTCTTCTTCTCAGCATCCTACTGCCTCCCTTTCCTAGCCTTCTCCTCTCCTCCTCTCCTCCTCTTCTCCTCTTCTCTTCCTTTCCTCTCCTCTTCTCCTCCTCTCCTCCTCTCCTCCTCTCCACGTACTCCCTGCAAGATCCTGCCATGGAGTGTTCTCTCCAAAGGTTCATCGATCAATTGCATGAGAGTTTTCACTCAAGTTTTGTAGTATTTCCGATGAGACAGTACCCCCTACAATCTCGGTCAAATTCATAGGTACTACCACACCATATCATAAGTACCCGTTCATTCGTCTAAATTTACTCGTTTTATACTACGGTGGGTCATACGATTATTTTGCTTCGTTCCGCTCCCCCAATTTTAGAAGAAGCGTTTTTTAGGGGTGAGGAATAATGTACGTGGTGGGGTAGGCCACCCACCCACTTCTTATGAGGGTTTTTCATATTGAGGACCGGTCCATGAAACTCAATTCGTATGGGGAAGGGGGTCATGCAGGAATGAGGGTCTGGCCAAAATTTGCTTCAAAATTTGAAGAAATAGCAGACATAAATTGATGATCATAAGAAACTTTTGAGAACCCCATGAGCGGCGTCATTGCAGGAGCAGGAGCAGGAGCAGGAGCAGGAGCAGGAGCAGGAGCAGGAGCAGGAGCAGGAGCAGGAGCAGGAGCAGGAACAGGGGCGGGATCAGGAGCAGGAGCAGGAGCAGGAGCAGGAGCAGGAGGAGCAGGAAGATTCGGAACACGAGGAGTTTGAGGCCGAGCAGAGCCGCAGTAGCAGTGTTCAAGATATAGCCCTGGAGCAGATCATCAGAGGAAACTGCACGAAAGTGTGTTGGGAGAGGTTGTCCCTTCTGCCCCATTGCATGCACGGGTAGTGATGTGTAGATGTTTGGCCATATCAGGTTGTTGAGGAAAGTATTTCAAAGCTGCACATGGAAAGCTCTGACTGAGAGACTTTTGACTTCACAACTGGCAGGATGCAAAGATAGCTTGCTGACGAGAAGCGAGCAAGCCAGGCTCGGGAAAGCGAAGAGAGGACAGGAGGAGCAAGCGTCGGGAGCAAGTTTCTCGATGGATCGAACGGCAGAATGGCTGAATGCTCTTCGTCAACTGCGGGGAGACAGCAAGCAGGTCATCACGCCTGGCCTGATACCGAGGAAGAAGCAGGAGGGATCGGCTTCTGAATCCGCGAGGGTGATCATGGCGGGGATAAGGAAGACGCACAACCTGCTGCAAGAAAGCAAGGAAGCGTACTTTGCTGTGCGAGGAGGAATGGACGATAGCGACAGGGATGAACTTGACAGGACGGTCAAGGGGTTCTTGACGGAGAGCAGCAGCGACGTGGACGAGCTGAGGAGGAGGATGAAAGAGCTGTTGCGCGGGCTGAACACAGACCAGCAGGCACACCAGCAAGGGATGATCCTTGTCCTGCTAGAAGGCTATGAAGCGCTTTCTGAGAAGTTCCGGCAGTTCAAGTCCCACAGGATGGAGATGGCCAAGATGGAGAGCAAGAACGTGATACTGGGGAGCGCAGCAGTCTCATCCTCCCGTGGGATCTGTACGGATCCTCCTCGAGGAGCGATCTGCGACTTGGAGTTGACGCCGGAGGAGCAGGAGATGCTCAAGGAAGAGAACGAGAGACTTCAGGAGGAGCTGGACTCTGAGCTGGAGCAGATGGTCAGGATGGAGGGGGAGATCGCTAAGGTGACGGCAATGTGCGAAGTTGCATCGCAGAAGATCATGGAGCAGGCGACAGAGATCGATGCGCTCTATGAAAACGTCGTTCATGCTGTGGAAGACATCGATGCGGGTAACATTCAGCTGCAGAAGGCAAGTGAAGCGACTGTCTTCTCGCGATTCTTTATGCTCATCTTCTTACTGCTTGCTTCTTTCATCCTCCTCTTCCTACATTGGTACATGGACTAGTTTACAACATTTGCGAGCATGTCTGTGTCAGGGGGATCAAGTTTCCCTCACACCTCTCCGTTAAATGCTCCTCCTCCTCCTCCTCCCTCCTCCCTCCCCCCTCCCCCCCCCCCCCCGGCCTCCTTCCCTCCCCCTCCTCGTACTCGTCTTCCCCCTGCTCAAACTCGCATGCTGGGGTGCTCTTTCGTCATCTTTATCCCATGAAGCTGAAACCTGGGACGGAACGTGAGGTCGACACTACAAGTCTGATCTTTACCGAGCTCTGCCTCGATCTTGGGCGAGTCCGTGAACCTGGGAGAAGAGCATTCCTGCTAACGCGCGTGAGGAGAGGGAGAGAAGTGAGGGAGTAGAGAGGCAGGGAAGCGGAGGAGGAGGGAGGGAGAAGAAGAGGAGGGAGTGAGAAGAAGAGGAGGGAGGGAAGGAGAAGGAAGGGGAGGGACGGTTGAAGGGGACGGGGAGAAGAGGGGACAGAGAAGAGAGGGGGAGAGGAGGAGAGGAGATAAAGGGAGGGGAGGAGGAGGAGGAGGAGGAGGAGCCGCAAACCACCTTGGTGACTCTTTCGATCTCGAAGGATAGAGGAGTGGTGATGATGCCGGTGGAAGGAGGCGGGGTAGGGCCAAAGGAAGAGCGCACGATCGGCTTCTCAGGTGTGCCTGGAGGGAGAGAGAGAAGTCAAAAGATGATTCCCACAGAAGACCGCAAGGAGGAGCGAGGAGGGGCGAGGAGGGGCGAGGAGGAGGAGGAATGAAGAGGAGAGGGAGGAGGGAAGCGGAGGAACAACAGTAGGTGGAAGAGGAGAAGGAAAGAGGAAGAAGATAAGGGTGGAGTGGTGGAGGGAAGAGGAGGGAGATTAAGGTGGAGAGAGGAGGAAGTTGGAAGTGGAGGAGGAAACAAATGGCAGGAGGATGGAAGAGCGGAGAGGTGAAACCAACAGATGAGGAGGACGACGAGAACAAGAACGAGCAGCAGCAGCAGC